TAAAAAGGAAGAGAAAGTGCTTGTTAAAGCAAAAGAAATGAAAAGAATAAAAGAAAAAAGTAAAATAGGTATAGAATGTGAATGTTGGGAAATGGTTTTAGCTAATAGAATAGTTCGGGATAATGTAATTAGATCTAGAATAGCGGAAAGTTTAGAACAAAATAGAGAATTAGGTAGTTTATTTTTTCATACGATGGCTTACTCAGTACTGCTGAGGAGGAAGAAAAATTAGTGATGGGATGTGGAGTAGTTCAAACCACAGAAGCAGGTCAGCTGTTGCTTCAAATATCTTGTGTGACAAAGAGGTGGTTCTCATCTACAAGAGCAAAAATGGTAGCAATATTATTTGCAATACTAACTGTACTCTAGAGAAGAAGAGTAGAGATAAGAACAGATAGTAAAGTAGCAATATTGGTAATCAAAAGAGGCCTGGAAACAGACAAGATAAGACCTTAGTTAAAAACTAAGAATGGTGGTTTGGTAACAACAATTGTAGAGGTGATCAAAACAAAGGAGTTCAATACACACTTTATAAAGATCAAGGGTCACTTAGAAGATATATTCAATGATCTTGCAGATTTGAAAGCAAATGAAAGTTCCAAGTCAACGGAGTACCTAAACCCAAAAACATTATATACAAAAGGCCACAAAATAAGATATATGTGAGAAGGTAAATTAATTGAAAAGCCTATCTGTTCCTTCGTCAAAATGTTGAGGAGAGTGCTATTGAAAGAAAAATGGGCTTTTTTACATAATATGCATAATGAAGCTTATCAAGAAAGAAAGAGCACTCAATTTGGTCCATGCTGCGCAACATAATGAGAAGTGGAACCAGACAATGAAACTATACCTTCAAATCAAATATGCTACAGCTTTTTGAAATAAAGTGTATAAACAATATGCTTCTATTGTTCAAGAAACTCAATCAGAGAAGGCCAGAAATATACAAATCAGACAAATGTGTGATATGTAAAAAAAGAAAGAAAATGTAGAACACTTGGTGAGCTGCGAAATCTCTCTGAACCTTCTCCGTGAATTAGAGGAGCAAGTTGTAGAAGCAACCCTACTGGAACTAAAAAAGGTAGAAAGCACGGAGACAACCAAAGAAGAAGTCTTAATAATGCTATGAAAGAAATCCCAAACTGAAGAATCACGTAGAAGAGAAAGATGGATCAGAGGTTTAATTACAAAAGAAGACTTTGATGAGTTGAGACCTTTTTTTAACTCAAACAATCAAACAAAAAGCTTTCTAGGTAGACTTTGGAAGAACTGGATAAAGGAAGTTTATGAGAGAATATGGGTTGCAAGATGCAAACTAGTACAAGAATGGGAGAAAGAAAATGGAATTACACCAAAAGATAAAAGAAGATCACACAGAAAGAAAAAAAAGAAGAAGAAACCACCAGATAAACGTATTAGAAAAAAAGAAAAAAACAAGAATGAAGAAGTTGATAAAAGATAAGGTTCAATTTTAGAGATAATGAAAAAAGAGGTTTTAAGGTGGATAGAAGAAGGCAACAGACAGATTGGTGGAAAATTATCATGTAGTCTTGATAGGCGGTAAGATCCAGCTGGTGATGTATTATTGAAGCCAATTGCAGGATAAAATAATCAGAGGTGAATCTTACTATAGCAGGTCACACATAGGTACTCAGTAAGCAACTGGGTGAGTCTCTACTTGTAATTTAGATACTATAGAGTATAACTCCGTAGAAAATTTTAATAGTTTAGATAATTATTACAAAGCCTAATAAGGTGAAGGCAAGACTGCCGAATTGATAAAAAAAAAAAAAAAATCGATTACTTTTCACTAATCAACTATAAATTAACTGCTTGCACATTGTTACCAGATACTATATTGATATCAAATAATCCAATAGTTTATTTAATTCGAATCAGTTTAAATTTGATGGTCAAATCTGGTTCCAAACTCAGTTAATCTTTAAATTTTTGGGACGTATATATGACTGTTATATGTTTTATTGGTAATATACTATATATATAACGATAAGCTTTTATTTCATATATTTAATTTTTTTTTTTTTTTTAAAGCATGTTTACAAAAAATTTGAATATTCTAAGCTAAGTGTTTTACTCAAAAACCAAAAAAAATCTTAATATTTTATATGTTTTATTCTAATACAATTTGAATGTTCAAAAAAAAAATTCAAAGTTTGAATAAAAAAAAAAAAAAAAAAAAAAATTTCAAATATACCAACTAGTTTCTGGGGTTAGGGTCTCGTAGCCTAGTGGTCTAGGCACCTAACTCTTCACAGATGAGGTTGACGATTCAATTACAGCTAGTGGTAATTTAATTAATTATCTCTGTAACCTTCAGGAGCTTTCAAATGCGAAACCCTGTGATGGTAAGACTATGTGATATATATATTTGGCATATAAAGAATTCTTAGAAGGAGCTCTAAGCCATGGAGAAGACTAGGCACTGTGTGTGACATGGGTCACAGAAGGTTTACTGCAGAAGGCTATACATGTGAATTCATGATTGGTAAGATAGCATCAACAACCCTAAGGTGGCATTGGGATCTTGATTGGGAGGATGGCTATATGCAGTATATTCAGAAGTGGTGAGAGAAGTAATGAACATAGTAAGGGGCTGTGGTAAGAGGATGGCTTTACCAAATATAGAACACCTCTGGCGCAAAAAGAAACAAGAAAAACTGGCTAAAAGAAACTCCAAAATCATGGAAGCAAGTGATCTGGTAGTACAAAAATAAAGATAGCTAGGGAGTAATATATTACACAACTTATATTGAAGTCAATGACAAAATATAGCAGAAGCGCAGGTCCTGGGTCACTGGCTTGTGACAGTGATTAAATGAGATATATAACTCTCGTTCTAAGGATCTAGACTTCTGTAACACTATACCGATCAGGAGTACTATAAAAGGATCGGTAGCCTAATTTGGTAGTATAAGACGTAAATACCTGGATTAATGTGAAATAACATCCTAGTTTGGCACAGACAACTGTTGAGATATGGCTAGGCCCTTAAAGTAGCTCCCCAGCGACACCAAACTGGAAGCATGAAGAGCGCCCACTCGAAAGACACTAATTTGGAAGTAATTCAAGACCTGAATTAGAAGTAATGTAATAAGTGATGAGGGGTAGAAGTTAGTTAGTGGATGTTGTACAGTAGTATATAAGTGGGATATATATGATAAAAATAGGTTTGGAAACCATCCAGTGAGTTTGAAAACTGGCCTGGTGTGAAACAGTTAATAAAGAGGTAAAATCTCATATAGCAGATCGCACATAGGTACTCAAGTTAGTAACTGGGTGAGCTAATACTGTATATACTAGATAGTTGTAACTGTACTCGTAACATTTGTAACCAAAATACCTTAGTGTAAATCTAATAAACAGTAGAGGCAAGACTGCTGAATTTAAAAAAAAACCAACTAGTTACTCATCAATGTGTTCAAACATTCCACCAACTACTAGACTATTTTTTTTAAAAAAAATTAAAATTTCAAATACTTCTAGTTTTAAACAGGTTTTTTTAGCCATAATAATATTGCCTGCGTTGCTGAAAAGTCTCTCGCTAGCAGCTGATATTGCTTGCACAGCAAGATACTTTTGTGCTAGTTGAGACAGAACAAAAATTATTTTTATTGTTTCTCCACCAAACGAGTGTATTCTAATCTTTTGAAATTTCTTGCAATGCAAAATATCTATCGACTTTGTTAATGTCATAGCTACAAGAATCTAACAAACTTTCACCATATACTTTTGTTCTTGATTTTTTTTGTAAGAGTTTGTTTTGTTGTCTTTCAGATATGTGATTTTTAGAAATTTCCTCATTATACAGTTGATGCAATTCATTAATTGCTTCTTTTTTTTTTGATTCAGTAATAAACGATAGATTTTTCCAACAGGAATCCAAGAGCGAAGCAACAAGACCATCAAGCTCCAAATCTTCATAATAATAGTTCATTGCTTGATAAAGTTTACCTTTAATCATATCAATTAATTCAACTATATTAACTAGATTATTAATTTTGATTTTGATTTTTTGGTTTGCTTTAGGTTCATCTTCTACATTGTCTTCGATTTGCAGTTTTTCAAATGCATTCTCCAATTCATCTTGATTGTCATTATCTTCATCACTAGAGTCAAAAAAAACACTTAATCTTGCTTTAATTTTTTGTATCATGGAGTATATATAGCTTACAGTTGAATATTGGCTCTCTTCAAGCAAATGGATCTAAAATTAGCATGATATCTTCAATAAATAACCATTTCTTAGAAGTCAAATTAATTTTTTGTAACTGCTATCTATTCTTTTTTGTTTCTAAATCAAACATTATTAACATTCTTGGCTGTGGAAATAATATCAATAAACGGCTTTAAAATTAACAAACAACTCCATGCATTGAAGGTGCTTGACCAACATGTTTCACAGTCGATAAGAGCATGATAAAAAACTAATTGTGATTCATTAATTGATTCATCTACCATATTTGTACTCAAAGCATATTGTTTTTGAACATTAATTAATCTTTTATTTTGTTTAGGGCAAGTAAAAAAGGTTATTAGTCTTTTTGCTCTTGTGATTAGAACTTTGGCTGGCAATATTTTTTTTCCAATGGTTAACTCAATCGTATGTGCCATACATAAGACCCCTTTAAGCCAAGTGATTTGGCTTAGTGCTTTTTTCATATTTTTTCTGTTGTACATGGTGCAGCAAAATACTTTATCTTTAATATTCCAATCAAATATAATCATTTCTAATGCTTCTTGAATATGGTTGCCAGTATGAGGATATGAGAGATTTTTAATTGCTAAAGTGACTTCTTTTAATTCAAAATTAGGAGTTATATAACTCCAAAAAATCTTATTTTAGAGCAAGAAGTCTATAAATTACATGTGGCCAATATCCAATTTGCTTCGGTCTCTAATATATCAGCAAAAAAAAATATACATAAACCTCCATAAGTTTTTATGCAAATGTAAACTTATGAAAAACTTACAATTAGTTTATAATATTATGTAAAGGTAATAATTATAAAAGTTTATGCTATAGAATTTCAGAGTATTACGTAGGAGTAATAATTACAAATATTTACAGCTTAGTAAATTTAAATGTAGGAAAATGCAAATAGTTAAAAACTAGCGAATACATGCATAAAATTATTAATATTTATAAATGACAAAAATCAAAAACATACGAAAACATATGAAAACATGCGAAAATTTGTATAAATTTGCGTAAATCAATAAGATATTATATACAACAAAACATCAAAAAGAAGCAAAAATATAAATTATAAATCAAAAAAATAAATAATATAAAATTTTTAAAATAAATGTAATAATTTTAATGTTTTCATAAATATATGAAAAAAATTGTAATAGTTTAGTAGTTCCTATATTTATTTGAAAAATTGTATACAAATATATTCTAAG